TGAGCAAAATGGATAAGAAAGTGCCACAGGTGTTCTGTTGAGACCTTGGACTTCGACAGGGGTTTCTCTATGTTTTTTTTTTGGTAACCTACGAGAATGTTCTCATCTACTGGAATCTCATATCATGTTAGTGTAGATACCAAAATATCACTTAAGAAGCTGTATGCACACTTCAGCCAATCCTATTTAATCGGTGAAACGTTGTTCAAATAGGGTCGGGGGGCAAAAAAACTCCAGAGTATCTGACCCATCAAAAAAATAGCATCATGGCAATGCTGGTTTTGCATGATGATTTAAAATTTAAAAATGCAGTCACAGCACATGAATTTCACCATGAAGCTTTGTATTGTCCTGGAGCTTGGGCTTTCTCTGTCTATCTTTTCCAACTATTAAAAAGCTAAAGAAACCTGGCTCTGGAAAATCAGTCAAATTCATAACTTTAGTTCTGTGTCTTTCAAAGATCTTAAATGGTAGAAATAATCAAAGAAAATTAAGTTTAATGTTCAGCTTTTACCATAGAGTTTTTATACATTTATAATGGCAATTTAGATAGAATAAGAATAAAAATGAAAAATTATATTTGCCTTTTTAAATCAGGAATTGGTTTTATTAGAAAGTTTGCTTTCCCGCAGGTCATTTTCATTCATCTTACAAAAGAGTATTAGAAGATGAAGGCCATCTGACTATAGATTCCTGTTAAGGACTTTTGACTTGAACCTAATGTGTTTGTCCTGAACTATCTGAAACTTCACCTGTGACTGTTTTTCGGGAAAGTTTCAACACTAATAAAAATCTCTAAATAAAAGGAAGATGGGTTTTGAGTTTTAAACTCTTTATCTAATCAGACTTGTGTCTCTGTGTTTTAGATGATCAGACAGCGAGCAGTTGTCTAAGGTGAGGGGAGGAGCGGTCGGCGGGTTCAGATAGGGGGTAAGGTCCGGATAAGTCAGTGGAACGGTACAGGGCCATTGGTTTCCTGAAGCTCGCACACACACATGAAGCCCTTGCCCTCTTTCTTCCAGCCTCTTTCCAAATGTTCCGGTTCTTGCACTGAGCGGGCCAAAGAACGAGAGGTCCCATAAGGTCAGAAAAGACACTGAAGTTAGCCCAGAGCAATCTGGGCCCACAGCAACACTCACAGCACGTCCCTGATGCTGGACTACAATACACAGCATAGGGCATAGTGGACTTAATGTGAAAACAAACTGTTCATTTACAGAATAAAAACTCTCACCAAAACATAAAATGATTTACAGTTTTACTATTTTTTTTCTAACTTTGCCTAAATCTTAGTGTTCAACTTGTAAGATTTTAAAACTCCCTGAACAAGGAATGCTTCAGGTATAAGTCACCACACCTTCAAAAGTCAAACAAACCACACAGTTATTGTAATTCCCCCATATAACCGTCCTTCAGAAGGCAGCCATTTCCACTCGTCTTCTGTGGACTTTTAAAACCTTAGCCTGGACACTTATTTATCAGACTAAACTAAACATTTATTAAGATTTTACTTTGTTGGTTGTTGTAATGATGATAACTCATGCTCATACCTGTTAGTCTATAAACGTGTTTGGATTGTAAACTACATACAGAAGGACTGATCCTTTTTCATTTTTTTTTCTCTGCAAAAGAACTCAGAGAAATTTAGGGTTGCTGAAAAAGCATTGGATAACCTTAGTGTTTAAACCTTGCCACAAGTCCTGGATTGCCTTGTGGTCTGGACTTTGACTTGGCCATCCCAAAACCTCACCAACATTACAGCTGTACTTATAAGCTTATGGTCTTTCTCCTGTTTGAGGTACACAGAATATATGGCTCTATTAATCTTTGCATCTAGTCTATAGCCTGGTTTACCAGACTGACCTCTTCCATGTGTATTCAATACAGAGCTTATCAGTCTAGGCAGACTTAGACTCTCAGACATAAACTTACCAGATCAATCATAGTGTGGCAGGTAGAGTGGCAGAATTACCCATAATGCAGCAGAGCTTTTCTGTAATCATAACAGCCAAGATGGTTTCTGCTACAGCTCAATGTTTAAATAATGCTCTTTTTAATATGCCCTGAATGAACTGCATAAATAATTAAAACCTCAACAACTGGCTTTTTTAATGATCTTCCTTTTTACAAAAGATATTTTTCCTCACATGTGTCGTCATTTGACCGGTTCTAACCTGCTTCCCGCCTTTGAGATCAGGCTCTACCTGCTGCTTTTCAAACTGATATACTGCCTTTACAGTGTAAGAGTCTGGCTGGCCTGGCTGTTAAATCTAACCATCTCTCCTGGAGGAACCAAAGCAAATACATGGACACAGCACGATGCAGCCACTACCATTTTTCACTCCAGAGGTAAGTTATTATGCAGTTTGCACCCAGTTATTCTACACATTGCCCTCCTTAAGCTCTGCTGCTCCCCCAGAGTTACCAAGCCCCTTAACCAACCTCTGAGGTTTTGTAACACAGCTGTATATCAACTTGGATTGAATAAAACAAAGGTTGGACTCTATTTACTAATAAGGTGATTCCAAATGTTATTGGTTTCACTGGATTATATTTAAGGGTGTCAGAGTAAAGATTAATGAAATTCACTCCACACAAATCTCAGAAACAATGCTTTACTTTCTTTCTACCCCACATTTATTCACTGCTTTTACTTGGCATTTCACATTGCTCTAAAATGCATTACGCAGTATGGCTGCAGGTGCAACAGGTGGACTAAAAGGAAACAGGTTGACCATCCGGGGTCTGGGACCCCATCCCCTGGTTGCTCAACCTGTGTGAAACCCTGATGGATAGAGCGTGTCCCTCGCCGCACTTCACTGCACACCGGCTTCTTTCACAACAGGTGCTCTGTACTGGATCAAAATGTTTTCTGCTGCCTGTTATTATTTGTTGTTAATGGTTGACAGATTTTAAACCGAGACATGAGAAAGTGGCAGAAAAACTTAACGCCACAGTGTGGGTTTCATTTACAGCATCAGTTATGATCAGTCACTCTATCCAAATTGCCTCCGTTACATAAAACTAAACAATGACTTTAACCAAATGTTAAAAATGTTGTCAGATGATGAATTGCTTTATTATTTAGTTATTCACAAAATTAATCAGTCTCTTGAGACCCCTAAAAGCCAACCCTTGAGTCGTTAAGGTATCTACCGAGATGGCAGAGCTGCAGACAGCCTGTAATTGATCTGTTTCCACTGAGTTATTAAACTTCTGCCGCTCAACACAGCAGAGCGAAGGGCACCTGAGGTGTGTGGATCATGACGGAAACATCATACAACAATATGGTAGCCGGTGATAAGCAGGCCTGTAATCTGTGTAATGACACAGCAGCTGCAGGTGAGAGAAACAACCGTGAAGTCACACAGAACAAAACGTTCCATTAATAAAACATCACTGTAATAAAACAATTAAAATTCCTCCAGATGACTTGATTCTTCCTGCTGCTGAATCCTTAAAGATGTGTTTTTTCTCTCTTACTCTTTTTCTCTTCTAAAAACATGATGGCAAATTGGGTTATTCTAAAACCTTTCTGTTGTATTTTAGCCCAGGGAATCTCATACGGTCTCTCTGCATCATTATGGCTAATAAGTATAAACTAATCCTGCATATTACTAATGATCAACCACATTGATACTACACTAAAAGACTGTCTGACCAATAAATGGCTCAGCATCTTGTTGTAAACTGTTGTTTTCACAGAGGAGGTCTACAGCTTCTGAGTTTATATTTAATGAATTTACTGAACAGGATTGATTACATTTAGAACCATATTGCCAACCAGGTATTGCACCACATTGCATCACAAATTAAGTTATTTCAGATATATATATATATATATATATACCTGCTGAATGGTTTCCTCAGCTGCAGTTGGACCTCAATCTAGTTCTCTTTAGCAGAATTATTTTATCTTTTTATCTTTTAGCCTTATATTTTCACCCATGAGGCTTCAGCTTCATTATGTTTAATATTGTACTGAATTCTTTGATTAAATAATTACATCTTAATCATAAAAATATTTAAGATATATGATCTGAATGTGGAAAAGCTATCACAGTTCATGATCAAATGCAACAAAAATAATTGGTAATTTGATCATAATAATAATAATTATAATAAATTAAGGACTTATAATGTATAAATCAATCTATAAAAAAACACACAAAAATTACATTATTTTAAACAATGGCCACTATTAAAAAGTAAATCCTAAAAAGAAATAAAATGCAAGAGAACTTCAATATTGCAAATTTTCTTTAAAAAAGTAAACTTCAGTTTTAATGCAAGAAATAAAATCAAAGCATGCAGTTTTGTATATTTTTTTTATCGTTAAGATGGAATTGAAAACGTACATTTTAAACACAAAATAAATTTCATTTAAGGCTCAAACAGATTTTTCCCAACTCTCTCATCGAATGACGAAATATGCAATTTATAATTATTATTATTTTTATTATATATATATAAATAATATATATTGAAATTAAATAAATAGAAAAAAAGAAAATGTGCGCCGGCTTCTAATCTATACTGGCCTCGTTCTGCTCTTATCATTTAGGATTATAAAGGCGATTGTTTTGCTGCTGAGACTGACTGGAAGATATCCTTATATTGCCTATAAATAACCCGGCGGAGGATCCTTTCTGGGTCAGTGCAAATGCATGAATGTGGAAAAATAAGGTGAAAAATTAAGGTAAATCTTCCAATAGAACAAACGCGTTAATATCACCTAAAAAGTTTGAAATAATTGAGTTTATTAAATCCAATGTGACTGATAAACATAGCCTATATATCGGATGTAAGGACATGTTTATAATAAACTTTTAGTCTAAAAGTCTGAACAGTGGCCTCTTATGTGGAATAAAACCGTGAATATGCGCAGTTCGCTCTTTCTTTATGGCATAGAGGCTACAACAGGGTCCGAAGTCCATGAAAGTTTTTCTGATAAGAAGAGCCAATAAAAGCAGCAGAGCGGCAGTGTAAATACGTCTACCTCTGCCCGGAGCGGCCCTTATTCCACACATTTACATCAGCCGGCCCACTCATTACCATGTTTTATATCCTCCTGCGCGCAGAAAGCGTCATGGCAAAGCGGCTCCATCCTCCCCTCCTACAGGGAAGTCAGTGAACTTTCGGAGCAGGTGTCGCGCACAGAAACTCCCCCCAAAAATCCTGGAACTTTATTTATTTTAAACTTATTATTCGATTTTAATCAGAATTCATTTGACCATCCCGTGCTTATGTCGTGTTTTTAATGTTCTCCAAAATGGTTTCAAAGCTGACGTCCCTGCAGCAGGAGCTCCTGAGCGCCCTGCTGGACTCAGGAGTCACCAAAGATGTTCTGATCCAGGCGCTGGACGACATGGACCCCAGCCCGCCGCCGCCGCAGGGCTTCGGGGTGAAGATGGAGAACATGTCCATGTCGCCGGATAAAATGAACGGCGCCGACTCGGACTCCAAGCCCGTCTTCCACACGCTGACCAACGGACACGTCAAGGGAAAGCTGTCCGGGGACGAGGGCTCCGAGGACGGGGACGACTACGACACGCCGCCGATCCTGAAGGAGCTGCAGTCGCTGAACACGGAGGAGGCCGCGGAGCAGCGCGCGGAGGTGGACCGCATGCTGGCGTGAGTTTCCCCGCTTTTTAAACATTATTTCTAAAAAGGAATCGAAAGGAATGACATTTAATAATAATAAAAATCTCATAGGTTAGATCTGATAGTTTTTAAACTTTAAATGTGACACAAAAACACATTTCTTTCATTGTTTACAAATTTAAATAACCGCGCCACGCTTCTTTTTTTGGTTACTAATTATCCAAATAGATTATTTCTTTACCTTTAGAAAATATCAGCTGAACTTAGATCTATTTATAATTAACCAAAGCTACTCCACCTCTCAGTGATAAAAAGCCGGCAACTGGAGAAAGCAACCACTTTAAATAATAATAATAATAACAACAACAGTCATAATAATAATAATAATAAAATATTGCTCTTTTAAATTGCTCTTTAATTTTATTTTAAAAAACGAATATTATTTTAAATGTTAAAAATAGCAAATTTATCTCCAAGAACCAAAATAAAACCCCGATTCAATAAGTCTACTAATTTTATGGAAAAAAAAGAAAGAAAAGAAAAACAAACATTCGCAGTTAAAGAAAGTAATAAAATGGTAAAAATTACGTGTGCACCAGATAGCAAAAAAAAAAAAAAAAAAAAAAAAAAAAGTATTAAACAAGGAGTTGGATGCTTTAAAAAGCTTGATCAAATAAATGTAACCCATTTTAAACAAATAAATCCTCAATAATCACCTCTGGCTTGTGTAATATTTGATGATATGATCCTTCTATACATAAAGTTTTACAAATGGGCATTAATTAGAATTTATTATAATAATAATAATAATCTAACTGCCGGGTAGCTGAATCCTAATTGAACTATTTGATAGATTTCATTCCTGTATTGATTTAATTAAATATAGTTTTATAGCTATTTGAAAACGAACTGGAAATATTTGCTCTGTAAAATGCCTCTAGATGACATTTTCTTTGCTAATTACTACAACATAATAAATCTTGTTTAAAATTCACAACTAAACCACGTGTAGTTAAGTTATTATTAATTTTATTCTATAAATCATCAACTGGAAGACACACAGTGGCGTGTGATTAAAGTGAATGGAGATCTGGTTATTCATTGTCAAAAGTTATAAACTAACATCTCCCCACTTAACCCGCTACACTTTAAACGCAGGCCTCCACATTCTCCAAAACAAACAGTGGAGAGCAGATCTGCTTCATAATTGCTGATGTCCGTCTGTCTGCGGCGGTTACTGTTTGATTATGGAGTCACTGTTTTATATCTATAGAGAGAAAGAAAAAGCTGAGCTAATGCAGCTTTAATGTGAAATGTTCAAGTGTTCATCTCAGTTTCCTTATTCAATACTATACAATACGAATTAAACTATATTATTAAGAACTGAAGTTCATTTTTGCTTCATGTTAAATCCAGAAAGCTTGACCAATATAAAGTAAATCAGAATTATTACAAAATTATGCTTGAATTTGAAATTCATTATTAGAATTTGTTAATTTAATTAAATAGTTGTATTTAAGTTCTGTTAAAATATAGATTTAAGTGTTAAATTTTTGTATAGATATAGTACTCAGAATCCATGTTTTTCAACCTCTGCAAATCCACTTGAACTAACCTTTGAAAATATTTACAGCCATTGGAATGTGTGCTTCAGTTATAAACTGACTCATAATGGCTACAAATCCAATCTCATGTTCCTACAAAATAAGGAAACTGGGTTTTGCAGTGCTCAGAGTAGAAAAGTTTTTGCAGGTAGATTTTTGGCTAAACAAAAGCAAAATGCTGTATTTATTTCCTGCTCTGCTTGTCTTTTACCTTTTTTTTTTTTTTCTTGAATGAAGTTTGTTTTTTGTTCATCAGAGAGGACCCATGGCGAGCTGCTCGTATGATCAAAGGTTATATGCAGCAACACAACATCCCCCAACGGGAAGTGGTGGACATAACGGGGCTGAACCAGTCTCACCTCTCCCAGCACCTCAACAAAGGCACGCCCATGAAAACTCAGAAGCGAGCTGCTCTCTACACCTGGTACGTCAGGAAGCAGCGGGAAATTCTTCGACGTAAGTTAATATTTGAGTTTCTCACAGCTTCGACCTTCGTATCGAATAATAATAATAATAATATGCAGCTGACAAGCAGCGTGCAGCTTTTATTTGGGTGTACACATGTGAACTGCATTAATCCTGTTGCAGTGCAATGAGCTGGGCTGGCTGAGGTTTCACTGTCTGTGGCTAAACTCTCCATTCCTTCTTTGGTATGGGGAGGTATTACATTCTTACTGATCACTTGAAGTACTTACAAAACTGGTTACAGAAAAAGATTCACAGCAAAAACGATCTAGAAATAACTTAAAATGTCTTAAATTAAGTGGATTTACCCTTAATTTGAGTAGATAAATAAGATTAATTGCCAATGGGTAAAGATTTTTACACTTAAAATAAGGTAATTAGATAATATGCACTTGAAAAAAGACAATTAAATCGTTTTTTTTCCTTTTTTTAAAATATAAATTGTCTTGCTCCATTTGCAAAATGTCCCACCTCAATTCAAGAAAAATGCATTTATTTTAAGAAAAAATGACTTATGTAGATTTCGATTTTTTTACAGTGTTGAAACAAGATTGAAGAACATGATTTGTTTTATTAGATAGAAAAATTATTCCTACTGCATCAAAAGAATCAGCAGCTTTAATGACACGTGGCTTTGCCAACGTTAATGAGATGGATGATTGTCCTCCTTTGGGGTTTATAGCCTGGATTAGCCACCTAAACAGCAGTAACAGCAACATGTAGGGGAGGGGCAGCTCATGCTTTACCATAAAATAGAACTTATTTGGTAAAAGTGAGCAAAACACTTTAATGACTACTGCTAAGGACATCATCATTTATTTTAATACAAACAAATAGAAAAAAATACTCCTACCATGCCAGTTGTTACAAGCACATTCTTATCCATTACTCTTTTTTTTACTTTAATTTAAAAGAAACAAAGCAGAGATAGAAGAAAAAAAAAAAACAGAGTCAGTGAAAACAGTGTGGAACCAATCGGATATCTCTGTGACCCAAAAGCACCTTTTTATTCTTTTTAAAGTAAAGCTCTCCCATCAACCAGTTGTTGAATTTTTAACTATATAAAGAGCTCTTTTGGGACATAATAAAGGGCATCAATAAAAACCTCACTCCAATGCACATGCAATCTTGACTGTTATGGTTACAGAAAAGTGTTGTTGCATGGGCCCGCCTCCTGCTCTGTGATTGGTCAGCCCTACCAGCTCAGTCTGGCTCACCAGACTACCTCCAAACACCAAGGGCCCAGCTCATTGTGCTTTCCTTGTTTGTGGAGTAAATGTGACTGTAGTCATATTTAAATATGGAGACTAATGTGCAAGAATGTGAAATATTCTTTTTTGCAAAAAAGAATAGCATTAGGGGATATTAGCAGGTTACTTAGCTGGACTACATAATGTCTGCAGTGTTTAATATAGCTTCCCGTCTGTAGTTTTAACCATTTCCTGACTGAATGATGCTTCTGCTTTCAATGCCATGATATACTGTCATTGTTTTTGAACCCAGAAGTATGTTTGAACAGACGGGTGTGTCTGTTATTAAGCTGCCATTAAATTAACAAAGCACATTTCAGTCAGCTAACTAACAGTGAGCAACAACAAGTGGAGAAGGCTCTGCATTTCTTTACACTCCAAACAGCTGGCAACAAAAGGCTGGTTACTGAGTCATTTTCTCCTGTTCATCATTAAAATGAGATTAAATTGTAGAAATAATATTAAAAAACATAATTTTTTTTTTTTTACTCTTTTTAGAACACTAGTTTACACTGATAACAATAGCCTACCAGGCCCATTCCCACTTTGTACAGTCGGGTATTAAATAAACAGCTCTTTAGATTATGTTTTTAAAACATCAATACTATTTTTGCAACTATTCAAATCCCATCTTTAAAGCTGAGCTCAAATTAGGAAGTATTTCAGGCAGTAATTACATTTTTATTATCTTACACAATAAAAAAAAAGAAAAAAATATACAGTTACATTAAACAAACTACACTTTAAAAGTGGTATTTTTGTGATTAAAACAAGATTTTAGTTAATTTCATTGCAATATTTTATGTTACTGTAGTGAACTTGACTTTTCTTAGTTTAGTTGTTGGAAAAAAGGTCAGACATGTGGGTTGGGATGGGGGTACAGTTTGGGAACCGCAGCTCAGGTGCATTAAAGAGATTCAAGCTTTAGATAAACACTGTTAATACAGCATCTCTAAGAATTTCCTTGGTGTTGGGACAGCAGATTTTTTTTCAGACTCCTCTGATTTTCCTACTCTCTTCCTGTCCCATCTGGTTGAAATAAGGCGCCTTCACTTTTTCCTGGGTTACAGTAAAGGCAATTTAAGCTCTGTGAGTATTTCTTGGCACATAAGGACATAGTGTCATGCTATGAAATGTAACTGCATGCCACATAATATTCCTATGAAAGTAATGCAGCTTTAAAATTGCAGTCATTCTGTACAAGTAGATTGAAAGAACGTTAAAAGAGAACATCAATGCTGCTGCTAATTGGAGGGTCCTTTGTTATTTTTATAACTCAAAGTATCACCTTTGTGTAATCTGATAAAGGCACCTAGATCCTGCTTCAAGTATTGGTTTTAATTTATTTTTATACAAACACAGGGCATTTTTTGAATTTCTTATGAGATTCTCATATTTTAGCATTTCTAGGATGTATCTAATTTTTTAAAGGGATTTCTTGTTATTTTTGCAGAGTTTAACCAGGCAGCACAAGCTTCTGTCGGCAGTTTGTCTGACAAAGGCAGCCAGGATCCAGCCTTTTTCTACCCTGAGTACAACACGTCAGGTCCAGGCATGGGTCAGTCTAACGAGGAGGTCGGCAGTGAGCCCCTTAGTAAAAAGATGAGGCGGAACCGTTTCAAATGGGGTCCTGCGTCCCAGCAAATCCTGTACCAGGCCTACGAGCGGCAGAAAAATCCCAGCAAGGAAGAGAGGGAGGCTCTGGTGGAGGAGTGCAACAGGTAGAAGAAAAACACAACTACTGGGACTCTGCAACAACTGCTGAACAGTTTTAATATCTTCTACCTCTTCCCTTTTAATGCAGAGCTGAGTGTCTTCAGAGAGGTGTCTCCCCCTCCAAAGCTCAAGGACTCGGCTCTAATCTGGTCACCGAAGTGAGAGTTTATAACTGGTTTGCCAACAGACGCAAGGAGGAAGCTTTCAGGCAAAAGTTGGCCATGGATGCCATCCATGCCCCCTCGCATGGCATCAACCCTCTGCTGTCGCACAGCTCACCTCATCATCCCCAGACCAGCGCTTCACCTCCAAGTAAGAGACAGAATCCTCTACTTATTCACTGAATAAACCAGCTTAAAGTCACGCATGACTGTAAAGTTGGAGGAAAAAACAGTTCTCAAAAGTTTTGCAAATAAACATGCCTTGCATGTGTGTTTTTTATCATACCCCTTCAAGGAAAACCTGTGACATCAGTTGTGTCAAGCCCTTAAAGGTTTCTTTGAACATCTTTGTAAAGAAACATCATCATTGGGACTAATTGTCACAGCAAAAATGTCAGGGATACATTTAAAATAAGCAGTCAGGAGTATCTCTGATATGATTTCCAACAAAGTTAAAAAACAAGCCACTGGACTTTGTTTTCCAAGTTTGGACATTTTTCGCTTCCTGGATGGGAATCGAATGGAAGCAAAACATCTTCAAACTTGGAAAACAAAGTCCAGTGGTTTGTTTGTTTTTTAACTTTTTTTTTTAACTTTGTTGGAATTCCCATGACCTGGATGACTGAGAATCTTCACCAGCACATCTCTGATGGGAGTATCAACTGATTACCAATTGGCTTATTTCGAAAAGCAGCAAGAAGAAAATTATAAGAATGCTAGATTAAGCAGATTAAGGAAGGGGCTTTCCTCAGATAAGACCAACTATAAGAAAACTGTAGGAAAACAAACTCTGCATATCATCCTGCACACACCACCGCCACTGTGACACCAGCATGGTGGAGGCAGCATCATGCTTTGGGGATACTCTCTTTCAGTTGGAATCATGAAGTCAATGCTTGATGAAGTTAAATACAGACAGTTTTTCAAACCTGTTAAGAGTCTGCACATGACAAGACAGAGTGAGAAAAATCATCCTTTTTCTTACAGTTCAGTTGATTTAGCACAAGATTCATCAAAGTTGGTAATCATAAAGTGAATGCTCCGCATTCATCCACATGCCATTTTGGTTTCAGTTTCCCTTAGAGTGAAACTATGTTAGAAAAAAAAGGTTCCTGAGGTAGAATTGATGTGATCAGAGAGGCAGAGAAAGAGAGGCCTGGATGATCAATGAGTGTGAGTGAGTGAGCTGAGCAAATGCCATTGTTATTCTGATCTTTGAAAACACACTGAGAACAATCCACATTGTACCTGCAATCTCCACTCCAAAGTGAGCATGGAGAGGCATGACACAAAGGGCAGCAATCCTGTGACAGGCCAGGGTCAGGCCAGGGTCAGGCAGGAGTGGGTAAGGGAGGGGGTGGACGAACATATCCAGAACACCTCGACGTATTTTCCTGGTTTCCAAAGTTTCTCCTTTTCCTCAAAGGTTGCTAATTAGAGTTCTCTAAACGGGAAGATGCTGCCTGTCCATTTCACCCGCTCTGACCATTTCACCCTAACCTGGTGTTTGCATTCGGAGTAATTAGTATTGACCCAGTCCAGCTTTACGGTATAAAACTACTCTGATAGGGCCGCACAGAGCTTTAAGCTAGCGCACCATCACTCAACCTCCATAAAAGTGCGATTTGAGAGATGCACTCAGAGCCCATTGTTGTCCCCTCATGTTCGAACACGAGGCCACCTTTGAAGGGAAAACAAACTGTTTGCCTTGGCTTGCTCTTTTACCTTTGGATAAACTGGTCCCACTTGTGGATTGTCTGTTTGCGCTAGGCTTTTTTTTTTTTTTCTTGTTGTGGCTCACCTGAACACCTGACCAGGCAATGACCTCAGGCTGCGGCGCAGTGGAAGGGGTCTGTACAGCAGAAGGGGAAAGGTTGGCGTAAGATACACACATCCAAAAAAAAAGAAAAAGAGTCTCAGCTGGCTGCTTACAAGGCGTCCCGCTGGCATCCTGCCGTCAGCATCAGCTGTTTTTCAGCGTCAGCTCTGAACTGACAATAACGTCCCAGCAGGTCGCCTCATTGCGTTGCCAGGGCATGGCCTGTATTATGCATGCTTAATGGACAATTAAAATCCTTTGCTGCTGCATCTCCCAGGCCTTTGATAAGGGGATCCTTGACTTCAACTCTCTATGCTCGGCCTCAGCAGGTGCTTCCATTGTGTTTGGTGTATTAGAGGACTGCAGTGACTGTAACACAGGTTCATTTGTCTCAGCCGGGCCTCCCCCAGCATAGCTGTTGAGGCTAGCCCCAGACTCTGAGCAGCAGGAGCTGTCCAAGGAGGTATTGGCTCCTTTCTTGCCAGACAGGACTGATCACCGCTTCTTCTTTGCCAGGAGAGAAAGCAAGACTCATCTGACTCTGGGAGTTTTTATTGATTCTGCTTTGCTCCACTGATCAGTCAGTCACAATTTTACTGGTGTGCTTTTATTTTTTCTATTGTAGCGACTGAAGTTCGGGACACTTTAGGTATTATTTAGATTACTTGTTTGATTTCCAGATAACATCTAAGGTTTGAATCATTTTTATTTTTCAAATTTTGCTTATATTAGTCAGATTTTCATATGTGTTCATCTGGGAGGCTATGAAGTTATCAGCCAACATTTCAACTCTACCCTTCCAGAAAGTGTAAAGAGGTCACAAACAGTCTCTTAAACCACTTCTAAGGAAACCAAAGATTATTTATACCTAAGCAGTTTTCCACCAAATTCGTGCACCAAAGGAGGAGCGCAGGTCAGTGCCGTCACCATTTGCTCTACTTGACATGCAGTGATTCCCAGCTCCCAGTTTGGATTTTTCACACCTGTTAGGTCCCCTTAGTTTCCTTTTTTTTTGTCTATTTGTTCTTGGGGGGAAAATAACTCAAAGGCTAGTGAAAAAAATTAATGCAAAGTAAATTTTCCAGGTATAAAAAACAGCTTTTCCACCACCTTACATTTATTTTTTCATTCATAAATCCTTTTTGTCTTTTTTTTACCTTCGGGATGATTTATACCCGGTGGGGCCCCTTTGGAAGATTTGAATTGAAAATGTAGGCTTATTTGTTGTGTCTTCAAATAAAAAAAAAAAACATCCTAAAGGAAAGTAGGAATTGATTAGTGGTCCATTTTTGTGTATGGGAAGATTTTTTCTGCCCGGTTCTCCTTGCCATCATTTCACAAGCTGGATGCATTGTGTAATTCCCTGTGCTCTTGAGGACATTATTTGGGTCCATTAAGTAAAAACATCTTGATGGAAAGTATTAGTTAATGTTTGTTCCTGTTTTGAGTATTAAAAAAGCTGTAAGCATTCTATTTTACAGTCATGGCATCAGTTAGTTCTTGCCTTTGAATTGTTTCATAGCTGTCGGTTCCTCTTAAGACCATTTTGTTGGTGTTGGGTTTGAAATAGGGCTGAGCAATTTTACCAAAAATCAAAGTTGCAGTTATTTTCAACCAATACTGTGATTGCAATTCTATGGAAATTCCCCTCTGTATTAACCACAAGCAGGTAGATATTTCCCTCCAGGGTTTCAATGTTTTCATGACCTTGAAAACTTGCATGTCCAGAGTTGTTGTTGCACGACTTTCCGCATTGTGTGAGAAAGTGCTTACTTCCACTGCCACACGTGAACCGATGTGCTACCTGCAGCTCTCGCTTCCCTTCTTTGTGGGGGGGGAATGGACTTTAAGAGTAGTACTGCCACCTAAAGGGCTGGAGGGAGAAAGTCGGCGTCTTAAGTCAGTGACTTGTTATATGTAACATGGTCAAAATAGACTGTCTCTGTGATTGAAAATCGCGTTTTGTTAAAATTGTATTGCAAATGTAATTAATTTCCCAGGCCTCGTTTGGAATATTCTCTTCCCCAACCATAATCAGTGTATTCCTTACCATAACCTTAACTTAAATTTAATTTGCACCATACCTCTAAACTAACGCTCTAAGTTTAAAAATGGGGTCCACCACAGTAGGACCATCCCATGGTCCGCTGTTTGTCCTCAGAAGGTAAGTAATTATACAAGAAATAGTCCTAAGTAGGTCACAGAAACAAGTACATACAGATCCACACATATATGTATGGACCACAGAGGAGTGGGTGGCCTAGTGGTTAGGGCATAGAGCCCTACTCCAACAGACTGCTCCTGCTCTGCCGCACAATGGCAGCCCACTGCTCCCCAAGGGGAAGGTTTAAATGCAGAGAGTGAATTTTGTTGCTCTGTACTTGTGACAGTGTAATGACAATAAAAGCTAGGATAAATCTTTGAAACTTTATGATTTGGTCGCATGTTCTAAGCTGGTTTACGGCTTTTGTTTTAAGTATCACTGTCTCATTTTCGGTTGTGATTTTATCATGAAACTAAAGCTGTCCTCTGGAAGATTCATGTATTGTTTAGCTTGCTAGAAAACCAGCAGACTCAGAAGTTCCAGATAAGTTACAGTAGTGAGCGAGTGAGTGGGGGACATTATATGTGGGCTGCAAAGGTTTTGCTTTCACCTCAGGCTAGCTGAAAACACAGATGCACACTCAGGAAAGATTGCCCAGCTCTGCACTTTCCTCTGCCTGCTCTCCCAGAGAGCCACAAAGAGGAGCCTGGATACGTCCTGCAAAGACCCAGGTGGTCTGTCGTATGCGGCGACTCTTCAATGGCCACTGCCTGGGGTTGGGGAGGCAGGCTTTGATATCACACAGGTCCCACAGAGAGCGTGGGCCTTTTAAACCTGCCAAAGACCCTTAGCTGACACTCCCCTGCAAAGATTCTCGCCCGCCTCTTGCTCTCAAAGAGCAAGCTGTAGTTGTTGGGGTTTTTTTTGTTGTTCTTTTTTCAACCTCCACAAAGGCATATTTCAGCTTTCATTTAACCCTCACAGATGCTCAGTACCCTCAAAATAGGTCTAGCATTTTTAGAAAACTACCAACTTTTAATTTAACTTGTGAAAACTGTGCTAACTCAATCTGAGGTTCCCTGCTGCTTCAATTCCTGCCAAATCCAAAGAACCAAAGCTGCCCTGAATAGCATCCTTTACTCCCTCTGGAACTTAAAGAGGTCGCCCAGCACAGAGATAACTGACTTTTTATGAGTCCTCCTCCATTGTGTCGCAATGGGGGTCATGAGTCCAATGGACTGCTTTATTGTTCTGCGGCGGTGTTTACAAGGCACAGCGGGCTGTTGTAGGGGTTGATAGTGGGTCTCTGGAGACAATATGAAGTCTGTCGCCTAAACAAAATGGAGGACATGTACTTCAGGCTGTGAAATATGGAGCTGTAGCTTTGCCATATCTATAGTCAAATTAACAGCTGGACATTAACAATGAGAAGCTTGGTATAAATGTGTTTACTCTTACTCTGATAGTGAAATGAAATGTTCGATGCCCTCATTACCGTATTCCTTTTTAATAAGAAAGAGATTCAGGATTTAACATGAAGGCCTAAAGCAGGAAGGATCTTAGCTATCTCAAACTACACTAGATTTACCAGTTTTTATCGGCTGAAGCTGCCCTAAATTCTGTACTTTAGCGACAGAAAGGATTTAATTAATCATAGAAAAGTAAAGCTAATGTTTAATCTCTGTTTGCATTAATGTAAAAGAATGAAATTGTTTTCTTTTTTTATTTCCCCCCCCAACCTTACATTCATATTATATTGTTTTTTGGCTCCAGAGAGACAAATTGTACCAAATGCCATTTATTCAAGCTTTCTATTTCCGCTTTGTTCAGGCTTGTAGTTCATGACGGTTACATTTATTTTCATAAGAGCAATTGAGAGAGTAGTCATAAAAAAACAAACAAGGGAACTAAACGATGCAGGAGAGGTTGACGTTGGCGCTTGCTTGCCAAACTTCAACATTAATCACAACCCATTGTGCATTCTAGCTTTAAGTCTTCAGCTTGATTTGTTGTTAATAAACTGAAGATTTATTTAAGAGGTTTCTCCAGTGAGGATAAGGAAGAACCGAGAAAGATTGTCTAACAAACCATCATCCTGCTTAAGAATTTGAAAGCTCTGTTTTAAGCTCCCTCTGCCTGAAATAAAAAGAAACAATGACTTTTAACAAAAAATAAATTTTTTGGTAAAAAACTAAAATTCTGGAAGCATGTAGACAGACGGACACCAAGTGGAGTACATCCTGTTCCAGTTTCCAGCAGCATTCATTAGGAAATCAATGCCTCCCTCATTGCTCACCTTTCCTTGTCAGCGCCTCTCCCTGTTTTCTATTCTATCTCAAAACCGGCTGTATATCAATATACCTGCTGTCATGTCAGACCGACTTTGGCTGGACGATGCAGCTGTCACACCTGGGTCAGGGACGGGGGGGCATCTGAGTGCAAACAGAGTCTGTCTCTGGATTGTCACTGAGGGAGGGGACGCTCTACCTGTCCGTGTGAGACTGAGACCACAGGATAAGAATGTGTTTGACATTGCTTGTAATTGTGTAATGTTTACTCTGTTGGTATCAGAGGGGGCCTGCATCAGCAAACAGGCATTAGATTGTCAGTTCTGTGTGTGTGTCGGTGTGTGTGTGTGTTGGGGGGTGCAGAGGCGTTGGCATTGCATTCTTTGTAGACACAACTAGAATTCCGGTTTTGGATTTATTGATGGTGTTACACTAATCCACCCCTTAATAAATTGTATGAAATAAATTCTACTTTTTTTCTTCTATTTTGCTGTAATAACCCCAACATCTTCCAAGCAAAACTTGTAAAGGTTTATAATCATCAAAACATTTCCAAGTTTTGGCAATTACACATTTTTTTGTTATTTTTTATGAGGTTAGTAAAATCTTATTTTGCTTTAAAACTTCTCTACCAACCGTGTCCAGACTAAAAATGTTGCTCAATACTGTGATGCAAATTAAATCAAGCTCGGTTAGCCTATGATTCTACTTTGTTCTGATCCACTTCAATCTGTGTAGGCTTGGCTCTATATTCAGGGTCATTGTCCCGTGGGAAGGTGAACCTCTGTCCCACTGTTTTTTTCCTGCAGCCTCTTACAGTCTTCTTTTTCCCGGATTACATCATAATTCAGCATCATTTGTCTTTTCATACACCACCTCTGCTTTCCTATGTTCTAAAAGCATGATATGACCTTCACCTTGTTAAACTGTGTTCACGGAGTGATCAGGTCTGTGTGTTAGTCTCTAACATATAGAGGGTATCTTTTAAAGGTCAAAAGGGTTCATCTGATCAGGATGAATTTTTTTGACATTATCGTGGTCTCAGCATGACTTGTAAAACATTGAAAATCCAACTGGATGAATTTCTTCCAACAATGTCATCCTTTCTTTTACGAAACCCAGAATGGAGAAATGTATCAATTAATAGTTGCCATAGCAACACCTTTTTGAACTTTACTCTCATGGCTGCTCCTCCAGAGTCATCCCTGTCCTGTGTTTCTTGCTCTACATGATGCCGCTTATTCCCTAATGTTTCCCAAAAACTCTCTAAGGCCTGTTAAGAAAACCTGAAATTAAATTATGCACGATTGGAAGGGGAGGTCTTTCCTCATTTGGAAGACTCCTGCAAGCAATTAATCGTTTAGCGAATTGGAGCAAATACGAAAGCATGTCATTCGATTATGTCTTATTGCACCCAATAAAACAAATTTTTATATGTTTTTGGTTTTTATATTGACAAAACAGTGAAAAACAAAAACCTCCAAACTTTAAGGTGAATGTCAGTATTTCCTCCAACGCTGGTGAACCTTCGCGCTGACGTAATGAGTCACGTCGTCAGCAGCATTTGTGTGCTTATCAGAAAGTCTGATGGAAGTTGTGCTCTTGGAAGTGCGTGCACACAGGGAATGGCCTTGGCTGAGCTGCGCAGATAGCAGTAGTGGACAGGTCAGTGAGAGAGTGTGTTTGTTTGCTTTGACTCCCCATCGGAGTCAAAGAGCAGCAGAACCTGGCTGTGGGTCTAAACCTGTGTCCTTAATCACATGATCAGTGCATCATGCAAGTTACTTGATGGGTGTCTTTTTCTTTCTTGGTCAGTGCGTTACAGCCAAGGGCCTGGCGAAGTGTCCTCCTCCACCGCCATCAGTCACCACAGCAACAACAGCCAGTCGGTGCTCCAGCAGGTGTCCCCGGGAGGACTGGACCACAGCCACAGCCTGCTCTCACCTGATGCCAAGATGGTGAGTAATCATACCTGGACCTCAGTGGTCTTAAATTAGATAAGACATGGCGTAGATTTAGCATAAACCCCTTAAAGGCTTCTCTTATGGAGCCTCCGCCAACAATCGGCACATTGTGCAGCTCTGTTTGAGCTCAGATGGGCGGCTGTGTTTTAGCAGACAGCCTTCACCCGAGCAGGCAGGCATGTCCATCGCTATGCCAACAAACCTCACAATGAAGCCGTCTGTTCTTATTGATTAAATGCTATTTTATAAAGAGGAGCTGAAGGTGCCAGAATGACGCCACTATTCCATCATGTCCCTCAGTCTTGTTGCATCTCTAGTTCTTTAACCCTTTATAGGGCAAGTTACCGTTTTTGATCATTTGCATTCCCCTTAGAAATGGAGCCCCCCTGTCCCTCAGTGAGGTCTAGAAGCATAAGATCTATATCCAGCCATTAAGCAAAGATAGCATTACTTGGCTATGCATTTTGTTTTGGCATTTGAGCAATTACATGATATATTTCCTACTGTAAATTAAGTTGGAAAAAAGAATAACAAGGCAAAAAGCTAATTGGAAAGTTTGAAAGTAAAGCTAAAGGGTTAATAAGCCTCTAATGTTATGTTGTTCCTAAAAAAAATCATTTCTTTCACTCTCAGAGTGTTTTTCATGAATTTCTTATAGAAGCACTTTTGTTATTTTTCGTAATATGTTTGGGCAAGTTGGCGTTTCTTGTTATTACATTGGCATTCATTTTTGCCATGAAAATATCCATATTTTTTTAATGTTACAAAGATAATAAGGTCTTGTCCTGGATTCAAATAACACACTACAAAAATGATCTAAAAATTAGTGAAATGTCTTAAAATAAGTGTATTTACCCTTAATTTGAGTAGGTAAATAAGAAAATCTCCCAGTGGAAGGATCATTTTTATCCTTAATATAAAATTATTTGATATTATGCACTTGAAATAGGAGACTGCACTTTTTCCCTTATTTTAAATGTAAATTTTCTTATTCCATTTGCAAAGTGTCTCACTTACCTGATCACTCCAAGAAAAAATGCACTTATTTTGAGAGAAAATTACTTAACTTAGATATTTAAAGTCTTTCACTGAGTGCCCTATAAATGGTTAAACCTTCTCAATGCCATGGCTTTTTAATCACATCTATTCAAAGAAAAGACATTTGAAACCATCTCTATCATAAATAAACTTTGTTCATGGGGAGCTGCACTTTCTTGTAAATCTTTTCCAGCAGTTTCTTTAAATATAGGCTGCTTCCTTCCGAGAGTGTTTTTAACGATGAAAAGACTGGTGCCTTATAAACAATATCTGAGAGTATGAGATGGTATCCTCAATTTTCAGGTGGTTTTGCTTAGTTTATCAGTCTGACTAGCTGCTTCAGCACTTTTACTTTAATATGAGTAAAGGCGGCCATTCCTTTACTTTCTACACCATGATTGTTGATGTTTTAAACAACCAGTAATATTACTGAATAACTTCATTTACTGTTTTGCAAGCCAGAGAAAAGAATTACAGCTTTTTGAATTCTTGATGTGTCCTAAATTATATCTATTATTCTGATCGAAAAAAAAAAAATCCAAAAAACTGGTTTGTTTCAACAAAGTAAAAATAAATGATATAGGAGGGCTTTTGGAATTTGATGGAGGGAAAACTCAATGCTAATTCAGTAATTCCTGCACTTCATGTCATCACCTTTGGAAGACTTTAAGCCACTGGATAAATCAGATGGAAATATATAAGGCATCTGGATGCACCTTAAAGTGTCATGATATTGGAAAGTATCCCAAATCAGTCTTAAAGAAAGATAAAAAAAAATCTGAGAGATACGTCATCCTTTATTTTTGGGTTATATTCACTGTCATTTTCATGTATTGAATAAAAAAAAAAAATCTCTACATGTCTAAAGAATGTTTGAAAGATATTTATTCGATAAGTAAAACAATTTCAACCTTCACAGCCAAACATTTTATCTGAACCATTAAATCGTTGGGCTCTGTTTGAACTCATCTAACTTCCCTGTCAGGACACTTCCGCCTTTCTTAGTGGTTTTATGTGAAATGAGGTTTGACATTGTAATGCTACATTTCTTTTTCTTAGTTGTTTTTTTTTTTAGCCTCCGTATTCAAATGAGGCTCCAATTAGCTCTTACTATGAACCCGCTGTAGCTGTTTAAACCGTTTGCGACTCAACAACTGACTCCTTTTATGTGTTTCTTTTAATTCTCCTTTCCTTTCACGTTATCGTGGTGTGTTACAGTATGTACGTTACACACAAGGGAAATGTTAGACAAAAGAATCTGAACTGAGTCAACATTTGGGTCTGCTGTTTGTTTAGCAGGCAACATCTGTTTCACTTTGGACATGAATTTACACAGTAGATACTCCGCCTTTCATAACTCAGTGCTATATTCAGCTGCAAGTAAATAACACAGCAATAAAGTTTTGCTTTATTTCCCCTGTCTTCCTCTTTAGATTTCAGGCTCAGGCGGAGGACTTCCTCCGGTCAGCACACTGACAAACATCCACAGTTCCCATCACAGTCACCAGCAGACACAGAACCTAATTATGCCTCTGTCTGGAGTCATGGCTATAGCACAGAGTAAGTCTGATTTGACCTCCATAGAAACACTGGTTTGGTCTATGGGTTCCTCCCTTTAAGTAACATGTTGGTGTGGTTCTTTCAGGTTTAAATACGTCACAGTCTCAGACGGTGCCAGTGATCAACAGTGTGGCAGGGAGTCTCGCAGCTCTCCAGCCAGTGCAGTTTTCCCAGCAGCTCCACAGCCCCCACCAGCAGAGCTTGATGCAGCAATCTCCCAGCCACATGAGCCAGCAGCCGTTCATGGCCACAGTTTCTCACTCACACAGTAAGTAAATCTACTTTCCTCCTGTTTAATGCCATCCATCCATCCATCCATCCATCCATCCATCCATCCATCCATCCATCCATCCATCCATCCATCCATCCATCCATCCATCCATCCATCCATCCATCCATCCATCCATCCATCCATCCATCCATCCATCCATAATGTATTTGGTTAATGGTTAAATTACCTAATTATCCATTTTTATTCCATTCAGCCCTCGCAGTATTTACACTGACCCCCTCACTGGGAACCACTGCTTACTAGTAATTGAAGGCATCCAAACCACTAAGACAACAAAACAGCTATTTTTTAACCAATATCTTTGATCAAGCTTCTATTTCTTAAATTAAAAACTAAAATACTCTGTAAATGTTAGCACTCAAGCATAAATAAAATATAAACGTCTTATGTTGTTTATAAAAGCGGTACCCTATACTTCTAGAGATTTAATATCTAAAGCAGTTTTCAATTTATTAAGCCTACAAACCTACCTACCAAAACTTATTAAGCTGAAGCAATAAATAAATGGCTATCATTTACAGTATATTATTTTCAACTAATTGGATTGAGAAGCAAATGAAAGGATACACCTCCTTAACATGTAACATGGCCAATTTTTTTCCTTTTCAATTTTAAAAGGTATAATGTAGGATGTTCTTTTTCTGAGTGGATCATCAAAATAAGTGATCCTCCTAATTGTCAATCATTCTGGTGATATGTTTACGTAAGGCCGTCCTACGTGCTCGTCCCCATTTTCAATTACCAGTGGTGTGTCTGACCTGGTGGAAAAATTGCGAATCTTCTTTAGGAAAGTAAGCTTATATGAGCGATGCAAGCAGCAACTTTTAAACAGAGCGTGCATGAGGATAAATGTGCACGTGCACGCTCTCACACATGTTTAATAGGCTTTCGCTGTCGGAGCGGGTATAGCGTTGTGCATGTGCATTTTCTTTTTAAAATCGAAAGGGCGGGTCTTTTCAAAAATTCTTGAAAATCCTCCACTATACCTTTAAGAAAGATGGACAACTTTTAAAGGAACAGATGCATGAATAAATGTTAAAATGTAAGATTAAATACCTTTAAGGCCATCCTATTGCTTGATTTCAATACAGTTTAGATGATGAAACAGCTAAGGTTAGCCATTCAAACTGTGCCATATACAAGCAGAGGCTGCAGCAGATGCACATGATGATGATCCTTTATGTTTACTTTAGATGAAGAAATTGAAGAAAACAAGAGTGGTTTAAAAAACATTTTACATCATTTGGATGGTTTAAGTTTTCTTGGACAGAAATAAACTCACAGCTAATCTCTTTGTGATTAGAGTTTAGAAGATTGGTAACATATTGATTGGTTATAACGTATCAACAGAACCCCGCTGTTAGAAATATTTGAACCAATTTTTTTGTGTAAACAGGATGGACCCCAACATTATTAAACAAAATAGAAATAACCAAAATTATTGGTTATTTAGTGATTTATTATTAATCTCCTGTTAATTGCATAGCTCTAACATATTGATTTGATAGAAAACTTTAAAGTTTATGTTCAATAAAGTGGTATTTTACACATTCCAGTTGTTAAAAGTGATATCTTTTCTTGCAGTGTACTCCCACAAACAAGAGCCCCCTCAATATTCTCACCCATCACGTTTCCCCCCCGCCATGGTGGTCACAGACGCCAACAGCATCAGCACCCTCAGCTCCATGTCCTCTAGCAAGACGGTGAGTCCCCGGATTGTCTCTCAGACCACAGTTAGATCCACCTTCTGATCTCTCTCATAGTGATTATTTGCGGGTATTTGCATGAGAATCATAGTAACATTTGCTGCACATCCTTAGTTTAATTCCTTGAAAATCATCCCTACGTACTCTGAAGCACACGCCGGCAGAGTGAAGCAGACACAGGCAGGTAGAAAGAGTGTGTGTCTCATGATTTGTCTGTTGACTTGTTTAATTCCTTGTCATGTTAGGACGCTCCTGTAAACAAGATGGTGCAACTCGGGGGTCTCTCCTGGGTAAATACTTTACTTTATCAGTTCAGCCATGCAGCTTTAATGAGTGAAATCCAACTCAAACCCAATCATTCAGGTCAGGAGTAGCTGTGCACACTAACTCCTTCGCTTCATGCTGGGGCTGATGTTCAAACAGTGTCAGGCAAACAGACTAGAAGGATGCATGGATAGGACACTCCTCACGATTCCTATTTCCTCTAAAACAGCCGTCCAATCAGTCACATGCTCTCTCAACCTGAACCCCTCTTGATTAATGCTCCCACTTTTCCACTTTCATCTTCCTGGTGAGAGTCACCTCTGCGACCAGGAAATGAGACCTTTTAATCAAAGCTCTGCTGCTACTTTTCTCCATGCTACAGTGCGACAGCGGATGAAATGAACTAGAAGGGGGGGTGAAGCTTTTTTTTTTTCCTTGTTCCTTTGGGTAATTACGCCTCTTCCTCTTTCCTACTTCTCCCTCCTACCCGTGATCGCTCTAGCCTGAAATGTTGTCCATGGTGCATTCACATGCTCAATTTCCCACGCTGAGGCAGAGTCCTCGCACCTAACTCTAATTGTGACGGCAGCTGGGAGCGGGTTCTGTTTAGTACTCATAAGGTATCACCAGGTTAAAAAGGGTTTTTTTAATGTTGGAGGGAAAATCAACAGATTCGAGAACCATATAAATATAAAATCACTAGAAATGCAAAAGCTTTAAAAGAAGAGAAAAAAAATGTATATTCTCAAGACTCTTTCTATTATTCTGCTGCTTTATTTAAATCCCCAAAATAAGAAACTTGAATGTAATGTATGCCTTTATAATTTACTTTCAGAAATATATTTAACTATTAACTTCCACTTAAACAAATACAAAAAACTAAGGATTACAGACAAAGAGTAGGATGATACTTTATTTATAAATACAATTACGGAATAATCTCTCATTAACTTTATTCAACTCTAATCAAGCAACACACAGAAAGAATAAAAATAGAAATTAAATGTGACTAATATTTTTGAAAAGGAAATAAATACCCATAAGCCTGAATTAACTCTAACTAGTCCAGATATTTGTGATGCTTTTAAAATGGAAAAATTTAAATTAAAAAAAGTACCTCAGTTATTTTTTTTAAGGATTAATTTAGTTACCTTAAAATAAAAAAAAAAAAACATTACAATTTGATGTTTAAAAACGAGACATTTTCAGAAGACTAAGTAAAGGTTTGTTAAAGCAGAAATATAAATAGCTATAATTCTCAGCTTCCTTGAACATAATTTAATTTTGTAAAAATAGGTATTTTGTTTACAGTTTTATTTTAATACAGTAATGTGCAAAAAAGAGAAATAATAGTTGGTAAAATAAGAGAAAGAACTGTTTAGAAACTTTACTTCCTGATTGTTCAGCATTATTGCCTGGCATTTCACAAACTCGTCTATTTATTCAGCAATCATCACAAAAGCCAGGTATTTTGTTATCAGGGAGTCCTTTGGGCTAAACTTGTTTCTCATGAAACGGCCTGTGAGTTCTGGGCTTTATAGCACCCACTGTTTACCTGGAGCCCTCCATTTTACACGGGTCCACTGAGCGCTCACCTCTGCACAGACTGCGCCGTCTAATGACTCAGGTCTTGGCTGCAGGTCAGCTTTATCAGGTGAGGCTGTTTGCTGGCTGCGGGGTCGCTCCAGGGTCAGCTGTCTCCACGGAGAGGCAGGTGAAAAGCAAATCCCTCAAACAGTCCTGAAGGGGGGAGAGAGAGTGGATACAGGCTTTTCAGAGTCAGGAGAAGAGGAATGGGGAATGTATTTGGTCAGGTGTGGTAGGCCGAGGTGGAAGGGTTTTTTAAAGTAAAAGAAATTCTGTATTTACATGAAAAAGAAATAGATCTGAATTGCTACTTTCTCCTGAAAAACATGTAAATTGAAAGAACTTCTGTAGAACAATTATCAGAAAAAGCTACTTTTACATGGTTTCCCTGTACTGTTTTTTTTTTATTGTACGCCACATTATTTTTTATACAATATAGTCAACTTTAAGGACAAATCAATATTTATCTATTCAAATCTTTTTAAATGCATAAATAAAAAAACGCTGGGTACTAAATCAGAGCACTACTACAGGTACTGCCTGTAGTAGTGAGATAAATCTGGGTCTCATTGAGGTATTTTCACACTTATTTTATGCACCTGTGAATCACACTCTAGCAGACTCAGAAAGATCAGCATGGATTCATCTTTTTCCAGTTTTCAAAACTACGTCTAAGAAAAATAGGCTTGTTCCTTGCAGCCTAAACAGGAAAACACAAACTGTTAATGGAAACTCCCTAAAAGCTGATTAACTATGAAAAAATTATGTTTCACCATCTTATATTACATTTCTTTATGGGAACTTTTATGAGTGGAAATCAGTTAAGTCAGTATGGTGAACGTTAACTTGACTCTAGGGCTTTTTACACATATTCAACTAATAACTAATCTCTTCAATGTGATGTATCCTGTAAAATTATTGCACTACTCATGATAAGTACGTAATAAGTATCTCACTTGTTTCTGCTGCCATCTAGTGGAGATAATTTGATACAGCAGAATTAGTTCAAACTATTTTAGCCTTAGTCATAATTTTTTTTACAGTTCTGTTATATATATTTAAGGCTTACTTGTAGTAATATTAGATAATAATTGAGATTTTATATTTTTATTAAAATGTATGCATTATTAGAGTTTCTAAAACAGAAAAAGGAGTGGAGTAAAATCACAAGGTTTTAAGTTTCTCAGTAAACACTGTCAGGAATAAATCAAGTGTGCATAAACCTAAAAGCCTACTGAACTGAAATATCAATTTACTTAATAAAATACCCTAATTGTGCTTATTGAATATATGCATCTGCATATCTGTGTTTTCTGTAGCAGGTTTTACTGTCCCTGACGCCTCTTCTTTTCTTTTCCAGTGTCCGCTTCAAGCTTGGTGAGAGCTTCCAACCGACTTCCCCGCTGCTCGGCAACCGGAGCACATTTCTTCACCCCCTCGCTGAGGTTAACATGATAACTCTTAATGGCCTGCCGCGTGCTGGACGACGAGTTAGTCAACAAACATGGATGAGCGGCGGCTGAGCAGGCGAGGCTGTGGAAGGGAGACATTGGGGACAGAGTCTGGATCCACCTCTGCAGCGCATGAATGATCAACAAGGATGTTTATGATTCAAACTTAAATCTTTAAAAAAAACAGTGTTCAGTTGAAAAAGGAAAAAAAAAGTCATCTTCTGTCGTCACACAAAGGAACAAAAGCACCAGAAAAAAAAACTCTGTTGACCTTAAAAAAAAGGACTGGATGACTTAAACTGGGAAAATGAAGACATTGAAAAAGAGAGGACTGGGGACACGTTGTCTGCACTCAAGTGACCCTCCTGACAATCACAACCACTATTGATCTTCTGCATACGTTTCTTTCTGGTCTTTAAAGGAGTCTTCCATGTTTTTCTTTCACACTAGGTTTACTCTATCAGCATTACTGCAAATTATTGCTTTGAGTCATTCATTGTGTATACTGTGATTTGAAAAGACTTTGACAATCTTAAAAGGGACTATGCAATGCTTTGTATAACTGGATTCTGCACAAAACTCCACACACTTGAGGCTGGAAGGAAATATGCACTATATAGCTGATGTATATTCTTAAAAAATAACAACAAAAAAAGTCCAGATTTGCCTGTGTGACAAATATACCAAAGTGATTTTTGCCTCAGTCTGGAGAGCACTGACTCACCCTCTATGCTTTCAATGGGGCCCTTCCCTTCCATGGAAACCTCTGGCTCTTGTTTGCACACAAGCTCAGGTGAATTTCAGGAATGGGACTCACCCTTCACCAGCCCTTTATCTTCTACCCTTTATCACCCACTTCCTGCCAGCACCGTAAAATAGGACAAATATTGTTAATAACTCCTTGTCGTGAATCACGGCTCAACATTAAAGAGCCCTCCCTGCTGCCGCATGGAATAAAAATATTGACAGGTATTCAGAAAGCAAGCAAACATTAAAGAGGGGACGGGTGTTGTGACAGCTGTGGCTTAAAAATCATGTAGGAATGCTGGAAAATCTGGGAGTCTGGACCAATCCGCCCACGATGACAGTATTACAGTTCGCTCAGACAGAAAACATTTTGCTCCAGAGCCAAGTTTAGCCCTCACCTTCGATTTTCCCTTTTCGCTACGAATCGACTCATCACATCTAGACTCATCCAGCCTCCTGCTCATTAATAGGTCATCATGTAGTCGTTATTGTGACTGTTATTGGCATATCTGATCAGAGGGCACTTGTACCTGTGTGACCAGACATGATTTCTCTCTTTTTTTTCCTCCTCCTAATGTATTATTTTTGTACAAAATTGAAATCAATCATAAATCATTATTTATACTTACTGAGAAAATATTGGTATTTCAAGTAAAAAGTTTTTTTTTCTAAAAATAATACATGTGTGGTTATTATTATAATACATTTGCTCAACTGACGTTAAAAGTGACTGAATTCTCATTATGTTTATTATATTTTCATAAAAATGTACACAGCATAAATGTTGGGAGACAAGGGATTATATTTGAAAGAGAAAGCGGCCATCACATTTACTGATCTATATTAGCTCACACTGAAGATATTAATTAAGTCATCTAGGTATATCTATTCATAGGATTTTGTCCTTGCATGAAAGATATAATCAAAACAGCAGCTTATGGAGGGTGGGATCTTTTTCCAATCTCTCCAACTCTTTCCTCACTGATGCTGTTTTCTCTTCACATCATGCCTCAGGTTTTCAGGAGGATTCAGGTCTCAGGGCTGATGTGGTTATGGGAGAAGTCTTAACCATTCCTTTGCTTGGCCATATGGCTTTGATCACTTTAAAGAGAAATAACATATTTTTATTTTTTTTTCTAGCAGAGACAATAGTTATTCCAAAAACCTAATAAAGCCATTTTCTCTAACAGAACTCATAGGATGTTTAGAAGAGGAATAAGACATACAGCACACAGATCCTCCACCATGCTTAACAGTGGATCTAATTTGCACTTCTGCATATTGACCTTTTGTTTTAGCCTGCCATAAATCAGCCTTATTTAAATGATACGGATGTTAATCTTTCCCTAACCTGGAGAAATGGGCCTTTGTGGAAATGCCAAGATATAGCATAAGTCAGTGTTTATATAAAGTTTTTCAACACTGTAGCTGACTTTGAAATATTATGATACAACACAGTAAATGTTGCAGTGTTAAAGTAACACTCAAGAGTACATTTGGTCCCACTGAATTAGTGTGGGACCAAATGTACTCTCAAAGTGTTACTTTAACACTGCAACATTTACTGTGAAATTAAGACAGCTTTATTTATTTTTTTTCTGGACTGATATTACTAATGGTGACAATATTTGTGGCACTGGTCATTTTTCCAAAATAAATTTTTTTTTTTTTTGGAGCACCCTGTATTTCACTCCATCCATCTTTCCAAATCAGACTATGTTTTCTGTCTGTTAAAGGAACTGATCCATGGGGAGGTTAGTTTACCTCTACATAGGGTTTTGCATTTAAACTAAAATGTATGATTATTTGATAAGAGCAATAATTTCTAATTGTTTGCTGAGCCTAATAGCAAATGTCAATAACTGCTTTGATTTATGCCTCTTAAATTTTTGTATGTACTGAGTGCTAAACTGCTGGTTGTCCTTCCACCTGAACGGTGAATCTCTGAAGCTATTATTGAAAATGCGTTTATTGTACTTTGGATTTGCAGTGGCTGCGGCTAGTGCATTTATAACTGGAACCCCTGAAAAAAGGAAACACAGGTTAGTGACCATAGAAATCTAATGGAGGAAGATTATAAACGTGAGTCACTAACCTGTTTTATCAGTTCAGTCCATCACCAGAGAACGAGGTAGGATCATTGCCGCCCAGACTGTCCATGATGCTGCAGCCCTGGAGAATGTGCAGGAGTCCAAAACCAGGTCAGGGAAAGAGATCAGAACAGCAAGGGTCAGAGGTCCAGAAGTCTGAAGCTAGGTCAGAACAGGAACAGGCTGGTTCAGAGGTTCAGGAGTCCAAAGACAGTTCAGGCAACCCGTGGCCCAGTGATTGAGATGCAGAATGGGTTGGGATTAGGAAATCAGAAACTGTATAGTACACCAAAAACCACTCTCTCCAGTGAGATCAGACATGAACAGGCACCAGGAACACTAGGAACGCTAAAACCACTCTCACCACTGGCCAGCGAGAATAAGAACTACAGGAATAATCTGGCTCTGATGGCTGGGACAGAGCAGTTTAAATAGAAGCAGGAGCAGGTGGATCAGATGAGCAGTGATGAGCAACCAGGCAAAGTTAAACATTTGAATGGAATGAGCAAATAAGCCAGCCATCAGTGCCAAGATCATGACAGATAGCAGAGTAACGATAATCCCACCAGATGAGGTTTACTAACTTCGTATTTTCAGAGGAATTTTATTTTATTGGGAGAAATAAGCTCCTTATGAACTGAGGAAGGTTGGAAATTTTCAATGGCTCACCGCTTGTAGCACTAATGAAAGTTTTTTCAAAGACAACAGAAGCAGCTTTTCTCCATAAGAAATGTCTCTGCATCATTTAAGCCACAACTGTATTATTATTATTATTATTATTATTATTATTATTATTATTATTATTATTGATAATATTATTATTATTATTATTATTATTATTATTATTATTATTATTATTATTGCTGGACTATTGCTTTAATTTAGAAATTTTGTCCAGCATTACTTATATCCATATGATCCCCAGCTTGAAACCAAAGTCACCTTGATTTATTTAAAAAGCACATTCTACCTATACTGAGGACTTTACAATTCATTAGATCAGTTATTTTTAACCATAAAATCATTATTAACGTGTAAGACCTGGAGTAGTGAAGAGGTGAAAAAGTCCCAACATTATTCTCCTGTTTTAAAACTGAATGTTGTAACAAAAAAAGACTAGTCAGTCATTCTGTGTTTCTTTAAAATTAATACTTTTTTGCACAATAGATCAGCTGGTGTCCTCTGAGCTGCTTTTAAACCTTAAATGTTTGTGAATGAATTTAATTCACTTAATAAAGCGGTATTTTTGCCACCCTCCATCTCAAGGCACTTTACTACTGAGAAAAGAAGGTTAGGTACATGCATTTCATTAGATCCTGGTTATTAAACTGTGTGGCTAAGATTTTTTAATTCAAACTGGTTAAAAAGGTTTCAATCTAAGGAAAGCCGGCAATCTGCATTGAGTCAGTGTTTCTTATACAATCAGCTTTGTGGACCTGCAGCCTGCAGCATGGCGTCCTGCTGAGGAAAGCCTTGTAATCCTCTGACGTTGCTGCATTTGCTTTTCAATGAAGCCTTTGATTACAAGACCCGGGAAGCCACTAAAGGTCTGACTGTGCTTTTTTTGTAGACTCTTTTATTTCAAGGGACACTAAAATCTAAAATAAAAAAGGGAGGGGGGGTTGCATCTGTTTGAGTTTCTAAACATACTATCAGATTCATCATTTTCATCATTAAAGGTCTGAATCCAAGCTTAATTTATTAATAGGCTCCGGACTATTGGAAATTCATCAACATTGCATCTTTTACAGATGATATATTATGAAGCTTTGATTGTGGCCTGAAAAAACCATGTGTTCATAATGAACAGGATGATTAACTCTAAAGGAAAGGACAGAGTTTCAATGTGGATCAATTGATTAAAACTTACTGGAAGCTTCTTCTGTTCTGCAAATAAGAAACTTCAATATTAGACAAACCCAAAGGGGACTTAAAAAAAGTTTTAATTCTTATTAAAAGACTTTAGAATAAAACATTCATAACAAGCAGCATGATAGGTCACATGATACTCGACTGTACTTTAGATCTGACTGTTGGTAAATCATCATTTTGAATTAGTTTTTGAGTAATTAAAGCTCTTTAAAGCTTAAAATTCAATTCAGTTTAACATAGTTTTATTTATATAGCACCAATTCACAACACATGTCATCTCAAGGTTCTTTACAGAGACAAATCCATCAGATCATAAACAGATTGGTTCAAAGTTTTAACCCAGATGATTGCATTGAGTCTTTTGACTTTACAGGATTTACTTTTCCTGGATGACCAAATACTGACAGCAGACATTTCCTTGCATTGTGTTGTGGCTTCTGCAGCATGCATGCAGCGACAGTGGAAGGAAAAACTCCCTTTTAACGAGAACACTTTCAGCAAAACCAGGCTCAGTGTGAGCGGCCTTCTGTTGAGGCTAACTGGGGACCAAGGAGACAGAAGCAGACATAAAAAAATAACGCAGAAGTGTTATCCAATTCAGATAACACTGATAACCCTTTCATCTTTGTAATCAGTGCAGCATATCCTCCATAAACTGTTCCTTAGATTAATTTTTACCGACAAATTATTTTTACTGTCAGCTTAGTGAAAGTACTTTTAAGAAGATATCAGAAAGTTCCTGCTTTTCCTTAATATTTTAATCAGATCTTTGAATAACTTCAAGGGACTTCACATTAGCTCAGGACTATTTAATGATTAATAATTCATATATTTTTTAGGGTGGAATGATTTTAGAACTTTCGTTTTCTTATGATTTCTAGGGGATTTTGGTACGACAAGTGTAAATCTATACTGGCAAATTTCTGATATTCCTACAGTGCAAATT